GACAACAGAGAGGAAGAGGCGAGTGTTAATGGGAGGAGAGACGAAGAGCTCCTGATGGGAGCAGGGCTCCGACACGTCTGGATGGGAGAAGAGGGAGACTGACGCAGACGGAGAAATGAGCATTCATCACAGGAGAGTAAGCGAAGCTGTGTAAAAATACATGATTTGGCCATAACGTCACCTGTCAAAAACTTCAGAGGGAGAAAAGAGAGACGATGCAGCGCACTTTAGTTAGGCCAGAGACTTTTGCTCCAACATCTGGAGAAAGACGAGGAGGAGAGGGTGGCTCTGATAGCAGTTCAGTTTGTACTGATGGATAGAGATTTTTGGAGAAATAGCAGGAAAACGGAGCCCTTGCGCCCGCCTCAGACAGAGCAGCACACATGTGAATTAGCTGGATGAGTTCTGTCATCCTCAGCGGTGCAGGCTTCCTCCTCATCACTGACAGAACAGGCACTTCTCCAGCTGCCCGTGGCTTTGCTTCACCTCCTTCATTTCTCCTTCTTTCCAACCATCACTTTCTCCTTTGCATTTCCACGGCAGCAGCCATGTATGCAGGTACACAGCAGAGCATAGTCTCGGCATCGAGACCGCGCTTTTGTCTTTTTTGTTTCTGACTTCTCCTTCTGTCTTTCATTCGCAGACGACCTCCTGGGCAAAAGGAGAAGCTTCTCTCCCAACAGCAGCAGCGATTGTCCCTCTGATAGCAAGAAGTCACGCAGTGTCTCTCCAAAAGGTAAGATTCATATGTCATAACAACAAAGGTAAATGGACCCCTTTTGGAGTAACATGCGAGTTTAATGTCATTTGTGATGGATGACAGAACAAAATAGCAAAATGAAGGAGAAACAAAATTGAAAAGTGTCAAATATAAATAAATCTAGGAGAACTATCAAGACAAGTTACACAGAGGAAGTTTAATGTTTGATTTTTCTCCCTATTTAAAAAGGAAAAGCAACATGTAATAATGATCATGATCAATATTTCATCAACTCCACCAATTACAGATTTTGTAAAACTCCAACCCCTAAACATAAGATCATTGTAATTTCCGTTAAAAAAAAACCTATTAATTACAGCTAAATACTTACTTTGCATATTGCTTATTTTTAACTGAAAGTAAATAATAAAGTAAGTAATATAATAAGTAAGGACATTTAAAATGTCCTTACTTTTTTACTTTTTTTTAAGCATTATAACAAATGTGAAGACTTCTATTTCTTACATTTCGAAAAAAAAAGAGCAGATGTTTTCTACCAAATATTTTAGAGAAAAAGCTCTGATTTACTGTTAGATAATGTATTGTTTTATTATTTATTCAATGTAACTATTTGAGATACTTAAGAAGGCTTTTGTCCACTACACTAGAAACAGAGGTGACGTCACACTGTGTGAGAGAGCAGTCATCACTCTGCAGTTAAACATGAGTTTTACTATTATTTCAAAACAAAGGCAATATAATGATAGTTGACACTTTAAGCTCTTTAGCACCTTATATTAGTGGACAGCAACAAATCACCAAACACTCCTCCCTGCTATAAATGGCTAAAACCACAGCTTTGCTCCAACAGATTCATCCTTCCTGCAATCTACCGAAAGTAGTTCACTTTCTAGCAGCTTTGTTCTCTTTTTGCTCTTCTTCTGGCCTCCACCTGATTGAGACTGAGAACAACTAACTGAGTCTTCATCTTGCAGGAAAAAATTTGTTGGTCCACTGTTTTTGTCCTTAATCTTCTCCAAGTCGGTGAATGTCAATGTGAGGCTACACTTGAAGTTTGATTTTCAGCATTTTGAATATTCTTTAATGTTTTTTTGTTGTTGTTGTTTTTTGCTGAAGATTTCAATAAATTACTTTTTTTGGAGTGTTGAACCCCTGAAACTAATGTAACTTTTTTTAATATCACTCAGCCTGAAACTTCCCACCCAAGACAACCGAGCTGCTTTATGGTTTTGTGTTTTGGTGCTGGTTTAAAATAGCTCAGCAGTAACAACCATCTCACCTGGGTTAAACTACAGCCCCTCCGTAGTGCTGCAGTCCCACCGCTGCTCTCTATTATTCATATTCCCGCCTTGTGTAGTGTGAAACCAGCCGCCCGGCGTGTGGCCATGGCAGCCGCTGAGCGCCGTCCCTGTTCGCTTGAGGAAGACCTCTCAGCTGATGCATTATACAGCAGCTCGCCACACAGTCAGTCCTATCAGACAAGCACCCCACAAAACCCTCTCTGATGGTTTTTGTGCGAGATGGAATCTGCTAAAGGCACATGTAGGAGGACTTTGAGGTCCTGTTGGGTCCTCCTTCTGACCTCTGCCCACTGGGTGACCTGTGACCGGCTGCAGTCCTGCCTGGAGCCTCTTTCACTTCCTCTGTGGGCAGAGGCACTCATTCCTGACCATTATAGCCTTACTCAGACACAAGGCAGCTTCTAAAAGATGCATAGGGTTAGTTATTGGTTGAGAGGCAGCCTGTTTGCGTAGTGCTGAAGCTAGGATTCAGTCCTAGCTTCCTTTTTTTAAGGCAAATAGGGGAAAATTGTATTTTTTATTATTCCTATATGTTCTCTTTACATACAAACTGGGGATAGAATCGTCCCTGTGCATGGTCAACCAGCTGCATCAAAGTCTTTAAAATACGATGCTGATGTTGTGTTTTAACCTTTAGCTCTGTTCACGCCCAAAGCCTGACGCTATACCTGTTTATGAGCTGGATTTGCCGGCTGCATGTACCGGCCCTGAAGTCTGGCGACAGACGCTATCTTTTGATGACTAATGCAGGTGAAGAAATAGACTAGAAGAGAGAGAGAGAGAGAGAGAGAGAGCAGCGTGTGGATGGAGCCACGCCGCTGTGTAAATGATGTCTGTTTTCCTTTCAGCTGCAAAGCCGGCACCCACCGCTGTGTTTAGAGAGAAGGAAAACTTTAGACAGGCTCAGACTAGTTTCACACGCACACACACATGCATGCAAACACATACACTTTAGGACCTTGGGTGGATTAGCGGGAGCTTGGCGGCGGAGACTGAGATGCTTGCGTGTTTTGCTTCCTCCCCTCAGCACCTCCACCTCCGCTCCTCAGCGCCACTCCTGCTCGCCTGCCCGGGGCCAGACTCAGGTTTCAATAAGGAGGAGGGTGGTAAAAATAACCCCAGCTTTCCCTCAGCTTCTCCCTCCTCCGCCTCATCTTCTGTCTCCTTCTTCTAACTCCTGAACCACCTCCCCTTGAATCCCCCACCACCTTCGCCTTAGATCATGTTACTATTGACAAAAAGGGGGGGGGGGGGGAGTGAGGTCAGAGAGTGAGATATTAACCGTGAGGGCTGACAGCTCTGTGGATATCATAGACAAAATCATTTACACTGCACCACTTTGATGCATTCACATACATTTTATTCTTATGGGTTTTATTTGCCGCTTTCCTTATTTTAAATTGAAATCCAGGCATTGTGGATATGGAAAGTGCAGAGCTTTCTGCAGAGAAACCGAGAGTTCACCATGGGGTCAGTCTCCGCTTATGACTCTGTGTATATAACTTAATATGAGGAGGCTTCCGGTCTGTCTTAGTGAACAATATATGGAAAAATTTCTGGCTGGTATCTGAAGAATGATTATGTCTTAAAATGAATTCTAAAAGTGCAACATTTCAGGCCTGTAAACATTTTTTTAAATGAATTTGCTATTGCTGTATCTACTTTCTCCTTCATTTGGACATTTAAGAACAGAACAAGTTTGACTTTGTCATTGAAATACGTCTCTCTTTACAGCCAGAAATGGTGATATAATAGACACAGTCCAAGTTACAGGTGTCATGGTACAGCTAGGTTAGATAAAAACCCACAAATTATCCACTCTACTTTAAAAACTCATTTTAACAACATGATGGAAAAAGTCCTGCGGCCTGGTTTTTAGCAACTTGTAGGGACGATATGCCCCTCCCCTACATGTTGCTGTGCAGTGGTGGCCACCTGGCTGAAAGAAGGCAGCCACACTTTTACCTTAGAAGAAACAAGCAGAATGTTAACAAAACTACCAAGAAAATCTGCAAAGTCAGAAAAATGTTAAGAGTTGAGATGCACCAATCAGACTTTTAAGACCAATTTCAGATCCGATTTCTCTGTATCGTTCTAGTTTGGAATTTTAAAATGAAAAATACTCTTGCTTATGAGGACCCATCTCAATAAATTAAAAGGACAATACTACTTTAGTGAAAGCTTAAACCTGAAACATTGTAGGTTGCTAAGAAATGAAAGTTTCCCACTTTAAGAGCATTTTCTTCTTTGCTTAAGATGAGTTAATATAAGTCAGTGTGTTTTGAATTGTGCTCAGATGTAAATCTATCACTGGTTTATATTTAAAGCCATTTACTTGGATATAACTTCCATTTTATGACTCTCAGAGTTATTATTTTTAGGTAAATAAAAAAAAAGAAATAAAAAAGCACTAAGAACTAAGTTCATTACGGTGTTGCGTCCTGGCTCTTTAACCCCACATGTACTTTCTGATGAAACTCAGTTGGTGAATATGCTCTCCTGTTTTTCAGAAAACTCGCAGAGTCCCGTGGTGGAGGCAGGCGGCAGCCACGGCCACATGAGCACCGTGGAGCATTACAGGCGCATGATGTCAGCGCTCAGCGAGCAGGGGTCCTTCGAGGAGCAGCAGCAACGCCTCTACCAGCTGGCGAGCAGCATGGGCCTTCCTGGCCACGGTCAGTCTTCGGGCCCGGGGATTTTTTATTTTTTATTTTTTTGTGGTTGGCATCATCCTCGCTATCACATCCAACACCGCGGGTACCGACGTTTCCCAGAAACAGTGTAGACTAACTTTTAGTCCTGCTTTCTTCACTTTGAGGTGAAACTCAAAACTTAATTGAGGCTCTGCAACAATTTCCAGTTCAGCTGCGACCAACCCGCCGAGGTGCAGTGCAGCTCTTCCACCTCAGTCTGCAGCGTCGTGTCCAGAGTCCTGCGGTACGCTCTGCTACTCTGTTTGGCACGGTAAAACCCAGGCCCTCGGAGATGGCTGACATTTCTATTTGCGGTGCTTGCCCACCCAGCGTCAAAGTGTCACTCTGGGTGATTTCTGACCACCCTGGCTCTCTGCTGTTAACAACACCCACAAGCCCTCACATGCATCAGTGCCACGGCTGGTTCGGGGACTCTCATTGGCTGCCATCTGACTCCTCTTAAATCTCCCAACGACCAGAAAACCGCCAGCATTTCACAGATTTACGCGTGTCTACAGATAGAAAAAATGGTGGAGTTGTTGGAGGAAAATAAACATTTTTTTTTTTTTTCTTGTTTGGATTCTCACCTTCCCGTCATTACACGTCAGCAATTTCCTTGAACTCCTCTAAAGACCCAGCTGTCAGATTTCACAGGTTTTATGAAATGTTTTCGCTCGGCATAAATTCAGTTGCTTTTTTGGCCGAATTGTTGTCAATCTACTTTAATTTTTATTTAATTAGTACTGATTTTTAATTGCTGGCTGCAGATCTAGAGGGGAAGGCCTGTAAATGCTTTAATTGCCTTTTCCCTGTGTCATAGAGGATTTACTGGGAAAATGCGTCACATTATGAGGGTTTTATGGCTCGGTCTAATCGCTGGCTTCGTTTCCCAGAAGCCTTGACAGTTTTTATCCAGGCCCTCTGGGGCTTCCCTGCTTTCGCTTCCTTAGTGTAGGAATACAGATAGTTTTTTTAAAAAACATCATCTTCTGTCCTGCAAACATTTATTTCACCTTTAAAAAAAAAAAAAAAAATTGTTTTTTCTTGAATTGTTGAGATTTTGTCACAGTAAAACTACAGACTTCAGTCTGTGGGGGTTTTATGCGATCTACCACCACAAAGAAGTGCATAATTGTTAAGATAAATTAAAATTGTTTACAAGTAGAAATGCAAAATTTGTGGCATTCATTCGTGTTGAGACTTTACTTTGATACCGTCGTATAAAACCCGTTGCAATCAGTTCAGAAGTCACTTGATTAGTAAATAAAGTTGACCTGAGTGTAATTTAATGTCGGTATAAATGCAGCCGTTCCGTAAAAGTTGTTGTTGGCGAACATTAGAAAAACGTAGGTCTACAAAGGATTGACTCCAGAGGCTGAATACAAATACCGTGAGGTTTTTTTTTTTTTCCTATTCTTGTTTGTTAAAAAAAAAAAAAAGGTTTAAAAAGCATCCGTCATTTTCCTCCCACTTCACAGTTACGGATTATGTTGAGCTTTCTGCTTAAAATCCCAATAAAACACAATGATGTTTGTGGGTTTTAACGTGACAAAAAGGGGAAAAGTTTCTAAGTATCAATGCTTTCGATAGGAACTGTACGACTGCGAGCTTGAGGGTAAGTTCTCGGCAAAAACCTCTGCACAGTGAGACGCAGCCTGCGTCCTCACATCCTGGAGGAGCCCGAGGCGGCACACCGGGCGACTTCCTCAAGATACCTGAGGACGGTTTATTAGTTTATTTACAAGACACGTTATTAGACTTCCTCTCCTCTAATTAACAGGTGGAGCTTGATAAGAAACTGACACTGTCAGACAGACGATGGAACAGGCGGAGAGATGGATGTTTTGTCTCTCAAGAGGTTGACATGAATCGTCCCGCCGAGCCCTCCTTGACATTGACCTGGTCTCAAATAAGCCCCCAGTGACCCCTTCCTCCCTACTCCCCCTGGGCCCCTCGTGTCTCCTATACATCTCCCTCTCCAGCACCCCTTCCCCTCCTCCTCTTCCTCCTCCTCTTCCTTACTGCCAACTCTCCCTTTAGCCTTGGTCCCCGCAGAGCATCCTTTCATGTGTTTGAAGTGTAGGGCACAGAAAATGAAAGTGTGTGTGCGCGCGAAAGAGGCGGGGGTGAAGAGGATCTCTGTGTGTGCATGTATCTGGTTGTGTATGTGTCTAGGTGCAAGGTGTTGTTTGAGAAGCTCTCTTTGGACCTGATGGGCAAAAGAAGAGAAGGAGGGAGGATCGGGGGGGTAGCCGGGTTGTAGAAATGGCCAGGAGGGCTTTCCCTCCCTCTTCACATGATGAAAGAAGGTTGAGGGAGAGGGAAAGTAAAATGAGAGGTGGGGGTAGAGATCCAGATGAAAGTGAGAGGAGGGGTTGGATGTTTTGTCTCCTGCTGTTCGGCCCCGACTCAAAACGTAAAGCATCTTTAGCATTGTCCTAAAAATGTAGAGAAAACTCAAGCAGGCGATTGGTCAAAGGACAAAGACGTGCGGCGCTGCGGATTCACCAAGTCTTTACAGCTGCTCGGGCTTAGACGACGGGCAGAATGCCCTCCTGTGGAAAAGATACTTGAATTTTCTGGTGCATGCAGAGTTTTAGCGGATGGGTTTTGGCTTTTGTCAACCTGCCAATCCACGAAATTCATCGCCGATCCAGCCAAGCTGCATCGGCGCGGCATTAGCCTTTATTCTCGCGCTGAGGAAAACCCGGCTTACCTACGGGGATTTGCAACTTCAGGGATGATTATGGCGAGGAAAATGGGGCTGTACAAAAAACTGAGACTGCTTTCTGAAGTAACTTAATGGAACGAAAGGGGCCAGTTAGTGCTTGTGTGTTCTCAATTAGGACTTTAATTTGTAATGGGAGGGACACTCGTTGTGCGATCCAGCAGCTGCAACACAAGACTAGAGTTTTAGTAGGAAAATGGAGCATCTGAGTACCTTCTCCGTGGACACAAACACAGACATACTCGCAGAAGGGCAGCGCCTCGGGTGACCCCGCTCCCTTCTGCTCACATAAAAGAGAAATAAAGGGAGAAAGGGAGGGAAAAAATATGGACCTGTTGCTTCGGTGAGGTTTTACAAGGATACACAGGATAAATATAGATGTCAATAACAGCAGAATCCAAAAAATAAATAAAGACAGTTACCACTTCACAGTTAGCAGTTTTTACATGTTTTTATTGTGTTGCTTAGTATTTTTTAGTGTTTTTGTCTCGTTTCTAGTGCAGATATCGTGCTATGCTTGAAATAAGGAAAAACTAACATTTCTACAAGATATGAGAGTTTGTTTTAAGTCAATAATTAATGGACATTGATTATAAGTCCTATTCCCTTTGGCAGATTTTTTCATTGGAAAAAAAGTTTTGTTTTCCATATTTGTAAATTTGTTTTGAGAAGATTATCTTTTGCAGTGTAGATGTAAGTGATCACTTCTACCACCTTTTCTTGTTGAATTCAAATCGTGTTTTTTGCATGAGCAGTGGCGGTTCTTGCATAATTGGTTCCCTGAATAATTGGCATCCATGTTTCTGCCTCCACACACCAAACACACTCCCACCCTGCCATCAGAGTCCAATCTAATACTGTTTACTGTGCAACTTAATAGAAACATAAGAACATAACCAAAAATATTGATCTGATTATAACTGATTAGGAGTTATAGTAAGCTATAAGCGGGGACTGATACGTGGTACGTTGCTTTTTAAAATTGGAACTGAAGTTTCATGAATCTCAAACTGTGTTTTTTAAATATTCTGTGTTCTCTGATGAAGAATTGTCCAGCTGATGTCTGACCAGTTCAGACGTGCAAAATATTGAAATAGAGGTTAACAAGTGCAGAGTTCTTAAAGAAACGTTTAAATACTCCTTTAATTTAGCACCAGAAAATAGCTATTAATAAAATTCACGTTCTATGTCATTAGACTTTAAATTAGGACTTTCAAATAAGGAATAGTAATTAAAGTGGACTGCTGATATTTGCACATACAAAGTCTGTGAACACATGCGATCCCGTCTACTAACACTTATAGTAGCCTAACTTAACTGTTCAGCCACATACTATCATTAATGCGTATTAATAAGCACAGTGCAGTAGTGCGGTATTAGCTCTACTGCAGTTATATTCTTCCTTTTCCCGTTTTTGGGGTCCAACCAATCACGTCCAAGGAGGATGAATGGCGTTCCTGGATTGGCTGCTTTGCAAGTGTCAGCCATTAGCATGTCAAGTAGCGTTGCACCGAAGCATTTCAGCTTCCCAAGCTGTATTTTCTTTTTTAATATTTTACATATACCCTCTGAAAATAATCTGAATAATTTGGAGTCACGTTCCACAGAATAATCTGCAAATTGGTGAATCTGTGAATAGGTGGCGGTCCACTGTAATGCTGTAATTATTTATTTGTTTTACTTTGAGAGAAGTGAATGAGCAGAAAAGCCAAATAACTTTCACTTCTTTGAAGACTATCTAGAGCAAGAGAAAGCAAGTCTGAGATGCAGCATCTGAGTTGATGCCTCATCCTGATCAGCTGCTGTAAAAAAAAAAAAAAAAAAGAACAGTTCTCAGCAGATGGCTCCATGTTGCTGCTAAAATACCAATTAGGTCTGGCAAACTGCTAGGCTTGGTATTTCACATAGCGTATGAAAGGAGTCTAAAGATCCAAATTAAAATTAGTTCAGGATTTTTTTTTTTTTTTTTTTTACGTAGAGAAACAATGTATAGCACACAACCATATAGAAGTGGGGTTATCAAATCCAGGCCTGGAGGGCTGGTGTACTGCCACTGTTAGAGGAGGCAGTTCAGCCATTTGACTCAGTCAGGTGTGTTGAAACACAGATAAAACTTGGACAACATTGGCCTCCTAGGTCTGGATTTGAGGACTCTATTTCATCAAAACTTACATTAAACGCACATGTTACCAACTCGCACTTAAATCTTGGATGCTTCTATTATTTACTGAATTTAACTGAAAGAAAATAACAGAAATCTGTTTTTGCTAAATACTTTGTGTAATGTAAATGACTAAAAACGCGTATTTTCAGTTTTACTCGTCTTTTCCTTTCAGCCGTGAGTTTTGGGGTTTCGAGTGGCAGCATCCGACTCCTAAAGTTAGGCGATGGGATACGGTCGGGATGCCTTTGGGTCTGCAGCATTGATTCCTTTTAAAATCAGTTGCTTGGGAGGATGTTGTAAAGGTCCCATAATAAAAATTGCTAAAGCATCCCTTTAACAGAGCCAGCCATGCAAAGTAATTGGTGAGACGGGATTGTGACCACAGAGAACTCAGAGGTCACCTGTTCCTCCCTGTCACAGGCGCACAACAGCCCGACTGTGTGTTTTTGTGTGTGCGCTCTGGGGCTTCACTTCCCTCTCATCCTTCTCTTATCTTTCTCAACCCACCTCTACCCCGCCACTTCCCCACAGACACACACACACACATGCACACACACACCCACGCACTCTTGTCTGCCGCCAGCCGAGTCCCCTGTGGCCCGGCGCAGCAAACAGATCGATACACCGGAGCTAGGCCGCATTAATATCTGTCGCTTCGCCCCCCTCCCACCACCGCCCCGGCGCCCACTCAGCTGCTTCAGTACACACACGCACACACAAAACACACAGTCGGGCACGCACTAGCAGGCACCTAAATCACGCAGACACACAAAAACACACATCACACCCGTACCAGCGGCGGAAATGGCCCCTAGCTCCCGAGGGATCCGTCTAATTAAAAAAAGGGTGGTGGAGGGTCGGAGGGGTGTGTGTGTGTGTGTGTGTGTGTGTGTGTGGGGGGGGGAGTGGATAGATTGAGGCAGGGAGCGAGAGGGAGGAGAGAAAGAGCCGGATGGATTTTTCTCTCATTAGAAGCCATGTCTCCTGGTGTGGCCTGGCCTGGCTGATAATGATGAGTCCTCTTCTCCTGCGAGGGAGAGAGGGAGAGAGCGAGGCCGAGGGAGCGAAGAGGTGGAATGAGGCGAGCGTTTGAGGGCAGGAGGTGGAGGTGGAGGGACGGAGGAAGGGGGGCATGATGATGGTGGCGGCGCCGGCAGGGGTGTGGAGGAATAAAAACATCGTGTGCTTTTTTTTTTTTTTTTTTTGGTTATTTGTTCAAAACAGAATCTGAGCTCCAGTTTTCATAGTGTTGATCTGCTGATGCCATTTTTTTAAAAAATCATATTCTGATTTCACTTTAAGAACTATAATATGAGAAGATACATGTTAAATATTTTTAGAATCTTACTGTTTTGAGGTTCATCAGTTATTTACCGTAGGATCAGAAGCGAAGTCACACTGTGTGTGTTTGTAGGAAAGCAGTGGCGGTTAAATACCATTTAGATCCCTGTTTTGCTATTTTAAAACAACAATGAAATGATTCTTTTATTAGCAACTAGCAGGGTTACTGCCGTTAGCATTACTAAAACAGCCATTTCTGTGTGTGACCTGCTAGCGTGTCCACCATGTTTCAGCGCTAACGTTGATGACTCAAAAGCATGAAACAGAGAAACTTTGCTGAACTCCATTTAGCCTTCCTGTTACTTGATGAAAGTCTTGCTCTCTCTCAGTCTCTTGTAATGAATCCAAGGCATGTCATAGCATGTTGTAGGAACCTTTACTTTAATGTAACACATTGATAGTTTAAAAAAAAAAACATTACTTATGGTTTAAACGCCTGGCTTTGAGTTGTCTTTACTCAGTAAGAACTTTCACTCCAAAACCTGTTTTATGGTGTGTTTACTGACTGGAAAAAAATATGGTATTTTTAAGCTTTGGACTTGCCGGTCTCCAGTAAGGGATAATCAATTCAGCCACCAGATGATTTTCTTTTTTTCTCACCCATTCTTAGTATCATTTTAAAATATTTATGTTGAATTAGTAGTTTTTATAGTTAAAAAAAGCTTCCTTTCATTGCCCTTTAATCTCCCAGTAAACCAATATTCAGGCACAGCAAGTTAGTAGATGAGGAATTGGGCAGGTTTTAGCAGCCTAAAACTGTAAATCCATCGCGATCGTTATGATGTCGACTCACTGATCTCTGTGCTTCTCCTGTTTCTGCAGACATACTGCGGGCTCGTCAGGAGGCGCTGGCTGCGGCAGTCAGGAATCCCGCAGCCTTGGAGGCCCACCTGCCCTCAGCGGGCAGCTCTTCATCATCCAGCCAGAGACGTAAGCAGGGCCTGCCGCAGCACCGCGACGCGCATTACACTGACAGGTAAAAAAACCTGCTACGTCACAAACAGCTGCAGCCCTTCCCTGCTTATAATACAAGAAATTATAAAAGATTAAACAAATAAATAAATAAATAAGCATCGCCTCATCCTCAGGTGGACGGTGCAGAAGAGCTGAAAGGGTTAAACACCTGTCAGTTTTCATCAACGCACTATTTGCAGTTTTTTCTTTGTATTCTGTCCTGCTTTTCGAGAAAGATTTAATCTTATGTTGGGCTTTTTCGCTTTGCCCAGTTTCCACACACGTGCGCACACACATATATATATATATATATATATATATATATATTCAGTAACATCTCAGCTATACCGCTGTGGAGTTGCACGCCTGCTCTTCCTCTCCCTCCCCCCCCAGCGTTGGCCCCTACGCCTCCCAAACAAAGCCAGGGGCAGCGGGAGTGGGCGGGTAATTGCTTGTCGATTATTTATGTGGCGCGGGAGAGGCGGGGGATCGATAATGGGCCGGCGGTGCGGCAGCAGGGGGTGTGTGTATCTTTATGTGTGCTTGTGTGTGTGTGTGAGAGCGAGGCAGAGAGAAAGATTGGTGAGGGGTAGGAGGGGGAAATGAGCAGGAAGCAGATCGGCCAGGCGCTGTGTGGTGCAGCTCTGGGAGACGGTGGGGGTGTATATATTTTTGTGTGCTAGAGCGAGGAGGGGGTAGCTTAGTGCTTGCGCATATTTGTTTGTTCCATTTTTTGAGCCGGCGCTCTGATGCGCGCTCATCTATGCGTACTAAATCTGGGTTTGTTTGTGTGAATATGTCTACTAATTTGTGTGTGTGTGTGAGGGTGAGAGGCCAGTGGTGCAGTGTGAACGTAGTCGGTGAGCCGCGCCTGTTCTCTGACAGAACACTGAGTAATTAGCCACACAGGACTGGGGAGAGTTACCCACGCCTCACCGTCCGTCCATCCATTACTGTCCAAACCCATCCTCACATCTCGCTGTGAGCTCTCTTTAACCCCATCCCTCTTAATACGTGCTTTGCAGTAAATTAAAAAAAGATTGATGAACGAGGAACATGCTGCAGATAACTTCAGCTGGGTGTTCGGCATGTATGTAATCATCTGCTTACGGGCCGTTTGATGACAGGACAAGACGAGGCTAAACTGGCTGGTTATGACTCTTGACATTAGTTAGCCTCTTGGCCTATGCTTCAGCTTCTATTTGCTTGTGCTGGTATAAAAGTTATTCTTCTAAAATCAAACTCTAGGTGTTGTAAAAACCTTTTCAATGAAGAGAAAACTTGGGAAAACAAACTTCCACGCAAATCCCTGATGACATCACAAAAGGCAATTGAATATTTGGATTTCTTGTTTTTTTTCCATTTTATTTACACTTTTTAAATCAAATTTGTCCTTCAAAGGTGTTCTATTTTATACAGGCACAACAAATATGTGCGCCGTGCTGGGACTTGATTGCTGTGTCTTTTGTGATGTCATCGGCTAAATCGCACAAAAACCGAATTAGCGGGTTTTATTTATTTATTTTTTTTGATTTTGTAAAATCCTACAGTAGGAATCCATCCATACCAAGCTGTGCTTTTATTGTAAGTCTGCATGCATAAGTGAAAAGAAAAAAAAAATCACCACAGGTTAGTTTCTTTACAGAAAGTAACTAATTTGATGGAAAATCTTAGAGCTACTCTTCTTTGTTTTCTTATGTGCAGAAAACTTTTAGTTAATCTTTCCTATTCGACTCTTACTTAAGGAAAGTGACTTCCACAGATCATTTTGTGCCAAGTATGTGTCAATTCGTTCGCATCCCACTTTGACAACCCCTGGATTTAAAAGTAACTTTCTCTAATCAGTTCATAGTCTGTTCTAATGAAATATGGCAGTATGACTCCAATGAAATTATTTAAGAGAGTTAGTGTTTACCCCTATACTAAACTGTCTTTTACTATAAAGTACAGTATTATGCTTTACTTTATAAAGTATAATAAACAGCAGTACTGTTTATTCCTTCAGTGAGCATCACTGTTTTTGCTGCAACAAGCCACCAGTTGATGATTGCATCAGTCAAGTTGAAGTATCCACCAAATGACTGAATTGGACCAATGCATTCCCATTGGGCCTGTTTTAGATTTGTTATGGGGAACATCGTCCTTCGCTTTGCAAACATTTAGAGATTAGCATTGAAAATTACTTACTACAGGTGCATATAGTAATGGCATACATATTACACGGCCAAAGGAAGTTCTCTGTTATGCCGTTTTATTCTGGTGCTTGGAGGTGCTGCTTGTGAAAAATGTAAAGATTTTTTTTTGTTTTTTTCGTGTAGAAGAGTATTGAAATTCAGCAACAATATGTGCGGGTAATTTAATCTCTATTAAATGAGGGATAAATCTCCCTGAATACGCTAAGCAGGCTCCTCCAGTGGGTAAATACTCCAAAATGAAATATGATTTTTGGAGTATTTCCAAAAATACTCCAAAAATCGGTGAAAAGTTGTAGTCGGTGAAAAGTTGTGGACCGTGGCTTTTTCATCCCCTTGAAGAGAATCCAAACGACACAGCATAACATTTTCTCTGAGCTGTAGTGCGCATTCACTGTTGCCATTGTAATGATAGTTTTAGGGAAGCCCCCTCATGTTTTTACATGACAATGCCCCTCTGTGGGGTCTATAAAGAAATGTTCTGAAGACCAGTTCCAAAATGTAGAGAAAAGCGTCTCCAGCCTGATTAATATGAGTGCCAGTGTATTGGATGCATCAGGCAGGTGTAATGGTGTAAAATCTGCACCAGTTGTCCTCAAGAACCGGTGGGAAACGTGAGGGTTGCACGAGTTAAAAGTGAAGAGAAACTTGTGAGTGAATCTAATTGCTCGGTTAAAGTAAAACAAAAACGGCAGCAAAACGAAAGCGAGCGAGCGAGAGATGGAAGCTTCCTCCTTTCTAACTCTCTCCGCAGCTCACCTTTCCATCGACCCCTCATCATTGATTATCTGGGGCCCATTAGGGCCCATTGTTAAAAACAAATCATTAGGGCTGCTCGATAGGCTTAGAGCCTGGCGCTCCATTTGTCTGGCCTTAAATGGCACTAGGCTCACCAAACATGTGCAAAGCAAACAGGGGAGGAATGGAGGGAAGCGAAGAGAGTCGAAAACACGGGAGCTAAGAACGGGGGTGAAGCAAAAGGAGACGGCGAGGTGACGGAGAGAGATGAACTAAAATAGAGAGTAAGGAAATCGAGAGAGTGCGAGATAAGGGGAGGAAGAGGGGCGGAGGGAGGGTGCAGGGAGCGACGGAGATAGAGGGAGGGAGAGAGAGCAAGCGTGGAGGGAGCCTCATCCATTTTAATGAGCTTCCTGTGTAAATGTGTTCCTGCAGAGAGGGAGCCGAAGGCGGCCGCGCGGCGCTCCTAATCCCCCCACGCTTCAGTCATTAAGGGCAGCCCTTCACACACACACACACACACACACACACACACACACACAGGGCCTGCGCTGTTGCAGGACGGGACCGCTGTCGCCGCTCTGACAGGTCGCCACACACCAGTGAATTCCCCATGAGCCTGCGGCCCCTCTGCAGGGAGAGGTCCCGCGCGATGATGAGTCCACCTTCCAGTTTGCATCTGTGCTTCTTTTTAGCCTTTTTGCAAAGAGTGGAGGTTGGGGGGGGGAGGGGTGGGGGCAGAAAAAAAAAGGTGAATGTTTTTTCTTCATCTTTTTATAGCATGTCAGTGGTTTGCCAACAAAATGCACAGAGAGTGCTAAAAGAAAACCACAGACTCGGAGAAATAAGTGCACACAAACATGTGTGCATCATGCATCCAATACACACACATTCGCCTAATGTCTGCCACTCCTTCCTCAAAATTGCCTCCTATAAAAGGAGGAAGAGAGGGAGAGACGGAGGAGAGGAGGGGAGTGTCAGACGCACTCGTTCTCTGCTCCCTCTTTTTCCTCCCCGTGATTAGGCCTAATTATGGTGGCGCAGACGCCTGGCAGCCCCAGTCATGCAGCTTTAATTGACCGTTATTCATCTGCGGGCTAACGCTAGGCAAGGCGGCGCAAGGAGAGGAAAGAGAGAGGGAATATCAGAAAGAAAAGGAAGGAGGGAGCGAGCGAGGAGGTGGAAGGGGGGAGGGGGGGGGGCTGTGATGAGAGTGGCATGCGGGAGCCGCGGTGGGGGTGGATGAGAGTTTTGCGGACGCCGTGGCGTAGTCTGGTGGAAGTGCGCGTCGCGGGGCTAATTGCTGGCCCTGAGGGATTAGGCCAGGTGATTACACACTGGGCGGTGTAATTACATAAGCGGCGGCTAACGGGGTCCTGGCTAGAAGCTCCGGGGTCACGCGCCACAGCCCTCACCCAAGATTAATTGGAGCTGCCACTGGAGTGCGAGGCACCGCCGGAGAGAACGGTTATACGATTAGTATTAACATTTCGGCGGCAATCGATGAATACACACACACACAGATGGCTAACCTTCTCCCCCCTCAATCTCATCTGCCGTCTCCTGTTCAGCATGTGTCCTTGCCGTTTAGAGCGGAGGGAGACTGGCGGGCGCTGGCTAATTTGAACACGGTCTCAAAACAATATCTGCAGTTTCATGCGTCCCAGCGTTTGGTTTTGACTTTGTAGTTCGGCTCCGCTCGTTTCCTGTGTGTGTGTCGAGCCGGTGTTCACACACAGTCGAGCGTTGATCGTTGAGGTGGTGACGGGAAGAGGTTATGCGGAGCTAGAAATTGAACCCCAAGGAAGGTCGTGGAGAAGGCTTCGCTACCCACCCTAAGGTCAAAGCTTCATCCACTTGACATCTGCCTTGAGTGATGCGGTTCAGTCCTGTCACAGCTTAAATAAAAGGTCATGCTTCTTAACATAACACCAAACTTAAATGTGTATATTGTTTGGATTTTATGTCATGGACAAAAAGTGGTGTTTAATTGTAAAATTAATGGTAAATGCTGTACAAATAAACATCTGTGTGGCATGCATGTTTAGCTCCTGAGTCAGAACCTCTCTCTGTAGTTACAGTTCCTTTTCTTTTTAGGGTACCTGCCTCACAGCTTTGCACACCCACTACCCAATTCTGACCCATTCCTTTTTGCAAAGTAACTTCAATCTCAGTCGGATGCAAGAAGTTTATTTTGAGGAATTAGGATACAGAAGGGTTGACTTCTCAATTTAACACCTTGAAATTGGCCCCCGTCTCTTTAAGAAGCTTGATGTCACAACAGTGTTCGCTCTGTTTACAACCTTCCTTAGGAGCTTTGGATTGAGAAGTGGTTTCTATACAAGCTCAGCAGATGCGCCGTTCCACCAGGTGTTTGTTAGTTGCTGCCACTAGTCTGGAGGAGCCGAGCGAGGAAGCTCAGCTGGAGATTGCAGCTCTGAGGAGGAGCTTTGTGGAAATAGGAGGTTCTTAGTGATTAGCAAGCATTGATGCATTTCTAATGGTTGCTACGGGAGAGTAAAGGATTTCTTAAGCATGCAGGTAATAATCAAAGCAACACTCCAAGAATTTTTTAAATAAGGAAACAATATTATAACATGATGTAAAGCGCCAAAAATCGATTTTACATAATACTTTACAATGCCACTCTGCTCTGTGAAGGTCTTTCACGTAAAATACAAATTAAAATATATGAATGTTTCTGGTTTGTAACAAGACAAAATGTGCAAAGGTTCAAGGGGTGAAGTTACATTGGCAAACATCGTCTGTGCTTCTTTAGCTGAGACGAAAGAAGTGAAAAAGGAAGGAAGAAAAAGTGAAATAAGCAGAATAAACACAGAATAAAGGGCTTGAGCAGGAAGACACTTAAAGGTGAAAGAAAGTGGGGATGAAAAAAAAAATCTGTGAACACAGAAGTGTAGAGTTGGGAGTAAAGACCAGACAGAAAGAGAGGGAGAAAGGTGAGAGGCACCTTTCCCCCTCGAGGAGAACAAAAGACGACCGCAATAATGGAGAGGCCTTTTCAGAACGAGAGGTTGCAGGATGCTCCATCTTTTCAATGCGGTGGAGAGAGCGGCGGGGAGGGAGGCTGAGCGAGGGCCGTTTAAAAAAAGGGAAGAGGAGGGATGAGTGTTAATTAGAAGGTCCTTCAGTCCGTGGCCCCGGTCAAGACGCGGGGGCCGCCCCAGCTGTTGGAGCATGACACACTGGCATTGTGCATTCAGCCCTCATTATGTGTGTGTGCGTGCGTGCACGGAGAGGCTGCAGGGGGAAGGAAAGAGTTGCCGTCCAGGGCACAGCAATGGCCAACGGCGGATGCTGCGTCGTGACAAGACTGATGAGGCACCAGGGCCTCTGGAGCGCCTCTGATAAAAATACTCTGCTCAGTATTTGTGCATTCGCTTTGGAGGCGAATGCACACTTTTCCCTTCTCTGAAGCTCAGAGCAGGGAGAACCCTTTTCTGTTCATGAAGGTGCGCTTCGGCTAAACCTGCGTAGCGAAATCTATTTGTGAACTAATGTCTTCGCTTTGGTTTGTGTCCACAGAGAGCTGTCCCATCCTCCGCCCCTCCTGTCCCCTCCAACTGCTCCTCACGTCACCTTAGGGCCTCACCTGCGGCCCCCCTTCCTGGGCATGCCCTCTGCCCTCTGCCAGACTCCTGGTGAGTGATGAACATACTCTATCTATATGACTCCAGCTGATTTAAATCAAATGTTTTTAGTTTTACAATTTCCAAAAGGAAAACACTTAAAACAGGGGCGTCCAAACTGGTCTGAGGGTTTGCAGTCCCTTGATGCGTTTGTGTTGATGAAATTTTCTCTAGCAAATGAAAATTTACCTAAAATGATAAATATTAGGTATGCGTCTTTTTAATCAACAAAGAATTTTTGTTTTAATTTCCTAGTAAATGGTGCAAGTCGAAAGCAGACTTGTGCAATTTGGTAAAATCAGGAGCTTTTGAAGAAAGAGTGGCCCACATACTGTTTTTGGTCTGCAGACAGATCAAAACAAATTTCTATAAAGCAAATTGAAAACCAGCAAGAGACTGCTTGCTTTTTGTTTAAGGAGGATGTATTATATAAAATTCGCTTTTCGAACTTTATTCTTCCATTTCTGCTTCTAAAAACAGTCCAAGTCCAAAACAGCCATTTGTTTTCTGGCAATATGTTAATGTTTTTTGGTATCTTAAAGCTCACAGTTATTAAGTCACAACTGGCGGGCAATGCGCAGTTACCTAGCAAAACCCACTAATCCCAGCCCGTCACCTAGCAACCGAAGCAAAACTCGAGCAAGACGAGTATTGTGCTGCTGATTTATGATTCACAAACTGCTGCTGCATGTTTCATGGCTGCTGTTGGAGGCTCCACTCTTCTGCTTCTGGGTCTGACTTGCGGGTCAAAGACGTACCGTTGTACTACTGTGCATCTGTTTGCAGCTAGTTTCATGTAAAGTGTGAGTGTAAACACTGAGTTGGGAGGCGTGGCCAGCTGCAGCTTATTTGGATTTAAAGCAACAACAAGAGCTCCTGCAAAAAGCTCTTGTTTTTGTCCGCTACATTTTTTTTTGTGCAAAAATATATAGCGGACATGTTTTGCTCCAAGTAAGTGCAGATATTCCCATGCCCTTTCAGCACAGAGCTGTGAAATTATGTAAATTTGTGTTTCTGACGTTGTGCGTCTCTTCCAGGTTACGGGTTCCTGCAGCCGGCGCAAGCGGAGATCCTGGCTCGACAACAGGAGCTTTTAAGGAAGCAGAATCTGGCCAGGTTTGTTGCATTTCATAAAATATATGTCGAATGTTTAACTGCAGCTGGATTTGTTGCATAAAAACAAGAGATGTGAGGAAAAAGAAAGAGAAGTTCTGTTGGTTAAAGTCTCTGTGTGGTTTTTCTTGTCAGACTCGAGATGTCGGCAGAGCTGCTGAGACAGAAGGAGTTGGAGAACCTCCACCAGCACCAGCAGCAGCAGCAGCAGCAGCAGCAGCAGCAGCGACTGCTCGGGTCAGACCCTCTGGGAGCCCTTCCTCCAGGCTTGCCCCCCGACCACCCGGCCCTGCGCAGTCTCCACGACATCCCTGAGGGACACCCCCTACGCGAGGAGCTGCTCCGCCGTTCCAATGCGATGCTGGTGCTTCGCCACGGGGCCGCCACTCCCCTCCTCACCCTCAACCAGCAGCAGCAGCCAGGGGCGTCGTCCACGCCCAAGGACACGCAGGCGCAGAGCTCCGTTGTCGGGCTGGGTGCCGAATCTAGAAAGGCCAATCGCAGGGAGGCTCAGACGGAGCTCCGCGCCAGGGATCACAGAGGAGGAAGAGACGACGGGGGAAGGGAAGGAGACTTGGAGGTGCACGACGAGGAGATGAAGGACTCGGATAGCGAGACGGAGATGAGTGAAGAGAGGCGAGAGGGGCTGGTTTCCAAGCCCGACAGTAAACCCAGGGACAGAGAGAGGAGCAGGGGCAAAGAGGCTGGCAGCAAGGCGGGGTGCGAGAGCGCCAAGGAGACCGGAGGGAGCTCAGGGAGGCTGAGCGCCTCCAGCTCAGCAGATACCGAGTCACCTAGTCGCAACCTTTTCACCCCTGGACTTGGCAAGGCCGATCTCAAATATCACCTGCCACCGGGTTTCATACCGCCATTGCCTGCTCTTCACGCCCAGTCGCTGCCCTTTGGATTTCCCTACGCCAGCCCTTACTTTCCTGCGGGTGAGAGTCTCCAACACACACACACTCGGAGCTTAGAGGTGACATGTGAAACCCATTAGCATCACTCTATGTGTGGATGTCTCCAGTGTGGCGACCTCTACTTGTTAGGGGCCCTGCCTTTGACCCCAGAGTGACCCATGCACACACCCCCAGCAGCACAGCCACGAGAGCAAAGCAGGGGGAGGAGGAGCAGTTTGTTGTCCGCACACACACAGGCCGGCCTGCTTCTGGACCAACAGCAGCCGCTACACCATTTATTAGACCGTTCCCTGAGAATAAGAAATTCAGGATGAGCAACAGAAGTTAGACTGATGTGAGACTCGCTGTATTTCAGCCTCTTGTTAAGATATAAAATACCCAGAATATTTTACAAATGTATTAAAAAAACTAAAGTTTAACATAAACTCATTGCTTTCATTACAAAGAAAAAAAAAAATCAGGGATTAGTCATACTGCTGCAAAAACTATTTTATTTTATATTGTATCACCACACTGCACTGCTCCTGCTTTTAAAACAAACCTGGAAATCCACATTTCCAGGGTTTTTTTTTTTTAGCACTGCAGTTCATAACTTTTATAAAATGCATATTTTTTTTCTTTTAAAACTGGCACTATGTTGTGATAGCATAGTGCGAGACCGATGATCTTAAAAAAATTGAGCTCCTCTGCCTCTTCCTGGTGGTCCAATCAGAGCCAGGAGGAGGGGCTTCGCCCTGTCAATCATGTCCATGTATGCAGTGCTCACACCCTCCATCTTGCTCTTTGCTAGACTACAGCTAGTTCCCCACAGAGGAGCCAAAGACGATGGTGAATGAACAGTTTTCCTGTAACATTAGGTTGCTCCTTTCTTTGCACATTTAACCAGCAGTCTTGAGCAGCACATACACAAACATGATTGACAGTCATAAGACCTTCCTCCTGGCTTTGATTGGATGCTTCTGACAGAGCGGTGCATTTCCGTAGATGGCTGCAGGACCACAATGAAGAAGAAGAGCAGCTCAAATATTTTTAACAGATTATCTATATGCTGGGATATAAATAATCTGAATGACATAGTGGCAGTTTTTAAAAAAAAATATGTAAAAAATAAATAAGTAAAGTTTCCTGCTGCAGCTTTAAGGTTCAACCTGCTGATTTCAATTGATTCAGATTCTTTTCTTTATTGTAAGGACTGCGACACATTAGAGGGAAAAATGCTCTGCAGGTTCTTTGACAGAGTTGGAACCCAACAGGAAGCAATATTTATGTCAGAAACAAGTTGTAGATGACTGGAAATGAACATTTTAATAAATGCGTCCATCTTAGGTCCTAAATTATATTTAGTTAGGTCTTAGCTACCTGAAGTCCTAAAAGGGGTGCAGGGTTTAATGTTTTTATCTTTTTAAATCTTTTTCAAAATCTCTTTTTCTCACTGTTTATTCTATGTCACATGCTGTTTGCATTTTAATTATGTAAAGCACTTTGGAATGCCTTGCTGCTGAAATGTGCTACACAAATAAAATTTGATTGATTGATTAGATATTGATTATTCAGTGCTTCTTCCCTAGACTTTTTAAATTTATTTCATTAATCAGTGGTCATCATTTATTGGGGAAGTTTGATTTTAGTATTAGCTGGAAAAAATAAGACAGCAATTTAGGAAGAACTTTGGTGGCAACGACTTTCAGTATTTAGCCAACTTCAGCCTCTTGATTAATCGTTATGTGTGTTTAAATAGCATTGTTTTTATTTTATATATAAACTTAAGCAAAAACAAAATCAATTTAGAAGTTCCTTTCATATATAATTAGTTGTTCTGCAGAATTCATTTTGCTCTTCACTGAATAACCTGCACAAGCTAATATTAGCTGGTTGCTTATTTAACACTGATGCTTGGTGCTCCTTTAGTTTCCACACCATACCTGTCTGTTTTTCCGTGAATTGAAATATTTCCAAAGACAGAAGTGGGGAAAAGTGCAGCAGCCTTTCAGTCAGCTGGCAAGCAGTGCAAAGTAATATATGGTGTTTCTCCATATAGCTGGCGACTTTAGCACTTTCTCTAGCATTCCACAGTAGGAGCGTTTTTTTTTAAAAGGCTTGGTGCCTTAGCAACAGTAACCAGGATGTCGAACTGCTGTTTCTGCTTTTCCCTCACTGCTCTGCTGATTGGCATTTCCCCACATTACTCAAACAACACTCAGACGCATCGATCCTGTCGATTCACACACATCGATTGATCTGCTCCCTCCACATCGACCCCATCTGTTTATCTCATTATTAGGCTTTCTTCCTTAAACCCACCCGCAGCTTAAAAATGACCGCTTTTTTTTTTTTTTGGACATATGATGCAGCTGTGTGGCCTCTGCATATATTGACATCATTTTCACACCGCTGATTTTTTTTTTCCCCTCTCGTATTTCCAGGCTCTTTGGGGGGTCTTTTCATGGACGGGGAGGACTCAGCCACGTCAAACCCTGTGGAGGACGTCAGCAAGTGGAGCGTGGAGGATGTGTGTGGCTTCATAAGCAGCCTGGCTGGATGTGCCGAATACGCGCAGGTGAGAGCAGAGAGGAGACGACGGAGGCCAGGGGCAGGCTAAAAACCACAGAATAGTAGTAATAACAGCAGATACTCTGAAGGGTATTTTAAGATGAACGTCCTCATGTTGAGGTGGTGACAGTAAAACGGCTTTCAGGTTTACTGGGAATGTGTGTGCGGACGCATGAATGCTCAAGCTTCCTTTCAGCAAAATCTGTGTGCGAATGAGAGGGATCAAGTGTGCGTGTGAATGGAATGTATGTACAAGCATCACCAGTCCAGCGTCTGGGAACAAACAACATTTTAAAACTTAGTGTTTGCAGAACCTGGTGGCACTTTAAGATGTGCTCAGTGGTGGAAAAAAGAGAAGATCAGATTTTTGACTTTCAAACCATCATTGATTTTCCAGATCCAACTTTTCAGAAATTCCACAAAAGGAAAGAAAAAAAAAAAAAAAAAAAAAAAAAGAAGAATCAGAGGAGGAAGGAAAACTGAGTTCCTCCCAGAAGGCCGAGTTTTTCACCCCATCTCTGAGAGCCCAGACACCTTGTGGAAGAAACTCATTTCGGTTGCTTGTATCCGCCATCTTGTTCTTTCAGTCGCTACCCTGTGGTTGTGATTATAGATGAGGGTAGGAACGTAAATCAGCCGGTAAATCGAGAGCTTTGCCTTTTGACTCGGCTCTCTCTTCATCACGACAGACGGGTACAACGCCTGCATTGCTGCAGACGCAGCACCAATCGATCGCCTGCTCCACTTTTTCCTCATTCCTTAACGCCCAGAGACACTTGAGGCCCAACACTTGGGGTAGTTGTCCAACCCCGACCAGGAGAAGACACCAGATGTTTTTTGGCTTAAAACCATGGTCCCCATTGTTGGAAGTGCTAATCCAACTCCAACTGGAAAGATGATTTTTCATACTTATCTAGACCTGGAAAACGGTGAGATGAACCACCAGACTGGTAGACGTGAGCGATATTTTGGCATCGATCCAAGACCTCATTTTGATTGTCCCACAGATATCAATAAACTAGCGACTAGGAGGCAATGAAGGTTTTTTCTGATTAAAAAAAAGTTTATCCAAGCTGCCAAATTTGACACATGAGTTTTTACATAAGGATGGTTTTACCATAGAGAAAACAACTCTCCAACCATCAGCTCTCCCATTCTGCATCACCGGTTCAGCCTTTCTGTTTAAACACTGATGGGTGTGCAAGGTTTCTTCAGTAGAGAGGGTGTTTTGTAGTGCTAGTGTGTGTGTGTGTGTGTGTTTGTCGGGGCTGTGGCTGAAGCGGCTGTGTCTCTGCCAGGTGTTTCGGGAGCACGCCATTGATGGGGAGACACTGCCGCTGCTCACTGAGGAGCACCTGCTCAACACTCTGGGACTAAAGCTGGGGCCTGCGCTCAAGATCCGCTCTCAGGTACACACGCACCACACACCTGCGAGTGTGTGTTTCGGTGTGTTTGAGTGGAGCTGAGTGTGTGCGTGTTTCTGTCCTTAGGATAGCTGCTAGCATAGCGTAGCTGACCCCCCCTTGAACTCGCCTGCCCCTCAAACTGCAGCCTCTTTTCTTCTCTCTCTCAAAGTGAAAGTCAGTGGCGTGAAGCTAATCAAGCCGTTCTGACACTCGTGTTGGTCTCTTCAACTCCACAGGTGGCACGTCGTGTCGGCAGGCTCTTCTACATGACAGGATTTCCTCTGGCGTTCCCGTTTCCACCTTCTGCCGTGCTGCGTCCCCCGGATCGGGACAGAGACCCCCCGCCCGCGGCGTCTGACCCCCCTCTACCCCTGTCTCTGTCCATGCCGCACAGGCCCACCTCAACCAGCAGCAGCTCTTCTCCGTACAGCGGCCCTACGGCCGGATGCTCGTCCCCCAAACAGGAAAACGGCAGCGGCTCCGCAGTGGTGGGGCGGTACGAGGCTAAAACCCCCTCGTAGGAGCAGACGCGCTGACGTGAGCGAACCAGACTCGCCGACGTTTGAGACATTTCAAAACGATGGTGAAAAATTAGACTGGAATAAGAGACTAGTGGACAGAGTCTGCAGTGGCTTGGAGACGAGCAGAACCCAAAGAAACCGGGCTGGAAGGGAGAAATGCGAAGTGACAGAGGAGCGGAGGACGAGGGCGGGGGGGAAAGGGAGACAGCTGGTCGCAGATGGGTTGCCAAGAAAAAGAAGCAGAGCCCTGCCACAAGACGCGACATTCTTGCAAATCAGGCAGACACTAGCGGAAACTCTTCTCTCCTTCCTGGGCAGGAGGAAGCTCTCCTCACTCACTCTGCGTTTCTCCAGAATCCAGGAATAAAGAGCAGTGCGTCTCCCTTCTTCTTCCTTCCCCGAGGCCAAGCAGCAGCGTCACCCTGTGCTGAAAAAGCACCAGCTCCCTCTTATATCACTGCAACTATGCATTCCACTGTCCTGATACCAAAGATGACCGGACGTGTGGAACATGAACTCACCATGTGTCTGCTTCTTTTTGCATTAATGGCCCCACAGGGAATTGCCGAGGTCGGGCCTCGTACAGCGGACTCTGAGGTAGACCCGTCATCCACTGGCGCTTATCCCAAACGGAAGAGCCTCATGCAGCTGCATCTCAATAAATTCAAATATCATTGAAAAGTTCATTTATTTCAGTAATTTGATTCAGAAACTGAAAATCGTATAGATTCAGTAGATCAGTACTTCAATAGTTTGTTGGTTTAGATCAGGGATGTCAAACTAAGTTTTATTTGGGGCGACATCAAGTTCATGAATGTACTGAAAGAGCCAGTTGTGGCAAAATATATTGAGAAAACGACATTAAAGTGTTAAAATATGAATAAATCGGTGTCTGCATTCGATGACTTAATCCTGAACATCTTTTTGCATTAATATAATTTGGCAAAATACAGAGAAACCTGCTTTGACTTCATGAAACAATGTTTAGGCACAACTGTTTCTCTGAAGGCTCCATTTGTGTCTCTCTTTAGGGTTTAGAAGGCCACATAAAAAATTATGGTGGGCCAGATTTGGCCCCCGGGCCTCGAGTTTGACAGGTGATTATCGTACAGCTAATGAAATAAAAAACACTCTCCCCCAAAGAAGGATTCAATACGGAAATGTGAGGCTGCTGTTATAGGTGTTACTTTTGTAGTGACTTCTACCACACTTTTTCCCTCCACTCAATTTTCAATGAACACACTTGGATACGGAACTTAGAACCGGTTATTAAAAAAAAAAAAAAACTGCTGGCCTGAAAACTGAATTATGGATTTTCATTAGCTGTAAGCCAAAAGAAAAAAGAAAAACATTTTAAATGCATTTGTAATTAATCTACATGGAGTTCCTCTCGTTGAAATTATGTTAATAAAACTTTTTAATGATGTTCTAGTTTATTTTGATGCACCGTGACAATTTGAGGACAACTTATCAGACATGGAGAAACCTCAGAGGGCGTCTCCGGCGTCCCTTGTACACTTGTGTTGACTACTATTAAAGTAGGACAAACATGCAAAATTGTACAGAATTGCGCTTAAGATGAAAATATTCTGGTGGTACTTTTTGTTTAACGTAGTTGCACGAGTAAGAATTTCTTTACTGACAAATGTGACTTGCTGAACTTTGGTGGTACTTTTGACTTTTTTTTCATTTTCTTAAGAAAAAAAAAAAAGAAAGAAAAAGTATTAAAAAAAAAAGATGCTCAAATGCTAACCCAGCATATAAATATGAGGACAAAAATATTTATAGCATTTTGATGTAGTAGATAAAAGCAGATTATGATATGTATTAAAAATCAGCCCTTACGATGGATTCCAAAGATAACTTTTACTTTGTTTTCTCTTGGTTGCAGGGAAAAAAAAAGGCACAAGAAGCTCTTAATGCAAGTGTTTTGAATTTCTTATGGATTTTTTTTAACTATAAAAAGCAATGAATTAATAAAAAAAAATGTTCTCTAGATTTCCCTTCAGAAGTTTTGTTTTCATCCTATTTTTCTATTCACCACACAGGTGAAATAAATCCTACAGAAAAATACTCTGCCGTCTCTTGTGTGTTTGTGGTGGTTCTGTAAAAAACGAGCGGAGAGGGGAGGAGGGACGTGGTCTCCTGAGGTGTGTGTAGGTGTGTGTGTGTGTGTAGAAGGGGGAGGTGACCCATGAGGGGCACAGTTCAGGTCAACACCAGCTGTTGAAGTGTGAGGTTCAGCCGCAGGCCAAGGCCTCCCTGCCTGTGGGGGCAAACCTGACCCTCTTCATATACACACACACACACACACCAGCCTCAGCGCCTCACTCACACTCACCTTCCTCCTTCAAAGCACCACGCTGTGTTAACTCTGATGGGACTTCCCTCCGCTTCAGGCGAGCTCCTGCGCCAGAAGCTTCTGAAATCTACTGCAGAGGAAACGTGACAGGCGGTTGTTTAATTAAATCCGTTTTGTGGCTTTTAAAACAAATCCACACTGCAGCGCTAGATTCCTGCAATATCACCCTCAGTTCAGCTGTGAATCTGTGGAAAATGTGCAGGGAAGCCCAGATAGAAACGCTGGTTTAAAAAAAAAAAAAAAAAAAAAGTGGAAATGCTGCGTCTGGGCATATGAATACATACATGCGGAGGAGACAGTGGTCCGGGCGGGGGTGTTGGGGTTGGGGTGGGAGAGGCAGGAGTTGGCACAGAAACAGAACAGCCTGTGTTGCAGCTTCACCACCTGGGCAGAGTCTTGGCACCGCATCAGACGGCGCCCTGCCGTCCTGGCAAGGCAGCGCCGCCGCGGGGCCCGACGCCCGCCTCTCCACGCCCTTCCTCTGGCCCGGCTCAAAGCTGCCACAAAATAGCTCCCTCTCTCAAAGCCTGAGGGGAACTGCAGGTGAGCACATGTGCAGAGGATTTACTTCCATCCATCACACCCCACAACCGATTAAATCTTTTAATAATAATAATAAAAAAGGACACAATCTGGGGGTTCCAGAACATTTTCTGGGTCAATAAACTTACATTATGATCTTATTTGTTCTGCACACATGAAGCGATACAAAATTTTAAAGTGGAAAGTCCAAAAACACACAGTGAGCCTGAACGTTAACGAACTCTGAGGCTCAGTCTTCGTCAGACAGCTGCAGGTCTTCGACCACGTCTTCCTCTCCCTCCGCCAGTTTTATCAGAGCAGCAGAGGAGAGCGGCTGGGGAGCCGTGGAGGCTTCTTCATCCTCCTCATCGTCGTCGTCATCGGCTGGAATATAAATTGAGATATGTCCTTTAAAATCTCAGCCCTGCTACATAAAACCATCAATAACAGAAGACAGGAGCTACATGGTGTGAGTTTTTATTGTTCAGTATTGCATTAAGAATCATTTTAACTCCCTTTACAAACTGTATTTTATTATTTTAATGTAAAGGTTACCCAATCATCATTTCTCACCTCTGACTTAATCTATACAAGTTAATACTGTTATTTCTTTTTATTATTCTGTATTTTTATTTCATTAACCTGACTTTAACAAAAATTAAGACTAAATTATCTTTTCTCTTTTCCTAAATTCATGTTCTTCACTACTCCGATAATAACTTCGCACGTTTTCTTCTGTTCTTGACCCACTAGATGAAACTAATTTGAAGATCAGATGGAGATAATCTCAGTAAGGATTATTCAGGAAACAATCTAACCAACCAGCCTCCTGGTTCCTCTATTAGCCACATTGTTTTAGCAGAGTTTTGATGTTTTTGGTTCTTTTGTAACCTCCCCAATGAGCAACTAAGGGTAATTTTGGTAGAGCAATACTCATCAGAGGCTCATTGTTTCATTATTTGTAGTTAGCGGCTTTTACTGTGGTTTCCTGGAGTCCGAAAACCTTAAAAACAACCTTTTTCTGAATTGTCTACACATCAGAGCATGAGGCGTCAGTTTTTGATGAACTTCATGTCGTCAGACGGGTGTGTTTTAAGTTGTTTCAATAGATTTAGCAGTAATTATCTTCAGGCTGTGGTGAGTGAAATTTAAAACTCACTGTCCAAAAATGGTGATTAACAACTATATTTAACAAAAGAAAACATTTATATTTCCACGTATGTTCAGGTTGATTTGAACCGCGTTGTTCCCCTCAAACATCCTCCTCCATTGGAAACCACAATTAGTGTTTTCTCAACTCTGTCCGATCAGAAAACATGACAGATGAAAACTGCATGAATCTGTCCTTCACGCTTATGTTTAATGCATATTGGCATGAATAAAATCTTAAATTACACGTAGAATTATTTTTGATTAAATGCAACAATATCCATGAGAATACAACAACATTCTAGTAATGTTTTTGACAAACTAAGATTCCTAGTTTTTCTAATTAAAAGGATTCAGGGATCACAAACTGATCCGTTTAGAATAATCCAGCACAGGTTTGTCACAATCTAAGGTAATCCTAGTTGCAGAAAAAGCTGTGATGAGCATCTTTATTAGTCGACTGTCATCCCTAATCGGGTAATGAAACAACTGCTTCCTGTCTTACTTCAAAATAAAAGCATGTTTCAAAAACCCTGCTCTCCACATCAATGCTGGAAAACAGCATTTAACTCTTACTTCACCTGACTGACATTTTGACGGCAGCTAATCAGATCTTCAGGAGACAGATTTCACTTTGCGAAAAAATAAAAAATAAATAAAAAATTGCATCTGCAGATCTTGTTGGACAACAAATGAAAACTGGCAACTAGCTCACAGAAACTATAATGTTTGTAACAGCAGTAAATGAAACTGCGAGATAATGCTGAGTCATTTCATTTCTGAGACTTTCTCCCACTGATGGATATCAAAGCTATGGCTGCAGTGGCTCACAAATGCTTTGCTAAATAGCCTGCTAGTATTGACACACCAATTAGCCACACGCTCATTCCCTTTAATCTATTATTTTAGCAAGTTAGCATTTTCCTAGAACTCCAGCTCTAATTGGTTAGAGTATAAATGAGGTTAACAGCAGCTCTTTAACTTGTAAAGATGAAGTGCGAGAAGCTTCTTAAATAGCTTTAATAGCAATACAAAGCAGTGAAACAGATTTATTCTAATTGACTTTTTCCTTAAAATCTTATTCAGTTTTAATGCTGAAAATGAAGCTCAGATTTATTTCTTATTTTATATAATTTCTGTATTTGATACATTTAAAAGACACATTTTCCTCACAAGGCCTGTACCTTCATCAGTATTTAAGATGCAGGTTCCAAAAAATGAATTAAATTATTAAAAATCTTGAATTTTTGCTGATTATATTAGTATTAATGTGTACTTAAGTAAATTTAGTTTAATTTGTGTTTAGTTCATTTCTAAAGATCAAACCCTTCTTGTGAAGAAGAATTTAAAAATAAACTCATGTTTCATTGCAGCATAATCCCAAACCTAGAGAGTGACCTTTAATTTAATTTCCATACATTAATTAAATTGGGAAAAGATTCATTTGCTAAGAAATCTTGTTTTGTAGGTGAAGACAATGTCGAAACCGTTTCTGTTCTACTGTCACAAATCTGATTATGTGCAGTTTGTTCAAGTGTACTGAGAATTAGAAAACAAAAAACACTCCAGGTAAAGTCCCTCATGCTCACTGTTGGGCATGGTGGACGATCAGTGATGCTGTGGGCCTGTTTTGCCTCCAAATGCCCGGGAATCATCTTTAGAGATACCGTTGAGGTTTTTAAATACCATAAGAACCTAAATAAAGATCTGGTAGAGTCATAGTGGAGTTTTCCAGTAAAATATTGATGCTAAATTGGCCAAATCAGCAGAGAAAAGTCTCAGATGTGTCGTCTCGATGGGTTAAATGGGGAGCAGTAGGAAATAGTACAGTCAGTCGAAGGACACATTGCCTAAAATGAACAAAAACTGTTATTTTACACATTTAAACTTGAAACCTTAATAAAATTACTGAAATTACCATCAAATACAAAAAAAAACCCTTTATTTTTTTTCAACAATTTTACTATAACTGACCTGAGTCTTCCTCCTCTGACCCTTCCTCATCGCTCCCGTCTGACAAGTCCTCATCTTCGTCTGATTCTTGGTTGCTCTTCTTACCTGCGAGGAAATAAGAGGCAGAGAAAAAAAAAACATCAAAGTGCGCTGATTTTTGTCTCGCGTTTCTTCCCTCAGATGCTCCTAAAGCTTGCACCGCCGCACCGCTGATGTCTGAGGACTTTGGAGACGCGGATATGTGGGCCAGGTATCAGAGGCAGCTGGAAGTGTCTATTTCCTCCTGAGATGGAGCTGAGAGTCGATTACAGGCGCCGCTGCCGCTGCTGCACAAACACCCATGACAGTTTACTACCGGCAATTTCAGACATCTCCTGCTCACGGCCTAAATATAGCAAATGAAGATAGCAGACAGGTTCCAGAGCTACAGTCAGGACGGCAGTGTGTGTGTGTGTGTGTGTGTGTGTGTGTGAAGTTTGGAGTTCTTCTGAACTTGTCCTCAGAGGAGATTGTGTGTGTAGGTGTGTGTGTGTGTGTGTTGTCTTGCCAAAGGGACAGAGCGGGGTCCACGCGCTTTGAAGTTGGAGACGTGATGAGAGGCTGACGGCATGATGGAGAGAGAAGCAGCGCTGCTTCCTCTGCGTGGAGCTCCACACACACACACTCGCACACACACACACACACACTCGCACACGCAGAGAGATAAACAACGTCTACTGAAGCATCAGGTAGCGCCTCTGCTCCCGTCTGAATTAGAGACAACAAACGTGCGCTCACTCTTTGAGGCTCACACGCCGCACGCAGATTTCCGCAGCGCTGCCTCAGAGCTTTGCCCCCAGATGACCTGGATGACTTATAACCGCCACTGAATCATCAGTCCTCGCTCCTCTCCCCCCTCCCCTCCCCACCGCTTCTCGCCAGACCCGGCCTGGACGGCGGAGTGGCGGCCATGCGTTCAGAGGGAGCCGCCACCTCTGGCTGTTCCAGCAGGCTGCTTTGAATTAGAGCCCCCTCCCTGCTGGGATGCAAGCCTGTACTTCCTGTTTGGGGGGAATTTCAGCTCATGCGTGTGCGTGTGTGTGAGCTCGCCAGCAGCGGCCCATCCGTTTGTGGGGGCTCTCCCTACAATGAAGTCCAGATGCATTTCAAAAAAACGGAGAGAAAAAATAAAAAAAAGGAAAATTAAACCCTGCCACAGCCTCCTCCTTTCCTCTAGAGGGATTTTTTCTGCTTGGAGCGCGTCCGAGCGCTATGCTAGGCTGTGGGAGAGAGGCTCCAGCTGCATGTGACCCGCCGACGACCCCGTGCGCTCAGATCGTACGGGGAGTTAAAAGGATGAGCCGGCTCCTGGTGGAGGGGCAGCGAAGCAAAGCGTCTGATAAAGCAGAGGTTTTAATTTCCACAGGAACAGCCTGGGAGGACGTGCTTACTAAACGGCGACACACGTGATCCGGACCATGGAACCCAATCTCAAGGCAGAGCAATCAGAGGCAGCCGTCATCAACCTTTTAACTTTGCTTTCCAGCCTGGTGCGACAAAACACTGCCCCCTAGAGGCCGAGATCGGTACTCCACCCACGTCAGAGCAAGACGTGGTGAGACTCGGACTGCATGGAGTTTTCAAAGTGGGACTTTTCTTACTTTTGATTTTCAGTCCTGTGTCGCTGTCGTCCGAGTCGCTGTCGGACTGGAACAGACCCTTGAATTCCTCCTTGTCCTCCGCCTTCCTCTCTTGGATCTTCCTGCGTTTGATCTCCGGCAGGTCCAGATCCTCCATCTTTTACAAGACAACACATAAAAGACGGCGGTGTTAATGATGATACTGCTTCCAGTAAAGAGGCTCCGCCATTCAGCGTGACTGGTTTATGATTAATGCACAAGAGCAATTGTTGTGGGTAACAGTGAGGTTGGTAGCAGAGACGAGCCAGAAGCCATTCATGAAGACTGAGGCTGATGTGGGCGGGGCTTTTAACAGGATAATTACCCTCTCTTTGCCAGAGATCTCCAGCTGGATCTCCTTCTCCCTCAGCTTCTTCCACTGGCTGTAGTATCTGGTGAGGGGAGTCCCCTCCTGCTGGGTCTGCTTCTCCCAGGCCGCCTGATACAGAGCACACACACGGCGGACATATTGAGGCATGGATGGGCACAGACGGAGGAAAAACTACGCAGAAACTTTCTAAAGCTGTCAGCAGGTTCACTTAAGCCCTGAAATCCTCTTAAAATAGTTCGCCTTGAACTTTTTCGCATTTTTGTTTTTGTTCCCGCTTGAGTTTGATTCTTTGTAGGACCACTTTTCTCTTAAATTACAGCTAATTTTTTTAATTAGCTGTAATTTAAGATAGCATCCTGCCCATATTATGCTGTCAAAATAAGAATTGTTATTTTTCCGCCACATCTGATATTTTACATGGAGGCTGGAGTAGATTATTTCTAGTTTCATATGCATGTTCTTCTAGATCCTGGATCTGAAGTCTTTAACATCCCATAAGACATTTTTCCCCTCAGTCCGGTTGAATAAATCTTATTTAGAGCAGCAAATGACACATGAAAAATGATATCTTATAATTTTTCATTCATATTTACTGTGGAGACATTTGTTATTTTTTAAATAACTATTATTTTATTTCTGTTTTCAGGTTTTAAAATATTTGAGAAAAACTTTTTCATAGATTGCCGATTGGGTAGATTATGGTTTTAAAAAGTACAGTTTTAAACCTGAGGACAATAACAATAGATCTAAAAAATTTTTTTTTTACTGGTACTAGTTGTGTCATTTTGTTATGAAAACATATTTATTTTATGAAAAAAAAAAAAACCCTGAAAATCTTAAAACCTGTTATTCAGTTCAGTCATTTTTTTTTTTTTTGATAATGGGACAAAACATATTAATCAACATCATCATATAAATACATCAGATTATAGCCAAGTAGCTAATTTTAATCTCAGCTGAGATCAGAGACATTTCTATTTTCAAAACACGAGTTGGTTCTTAGTTCATGGTTTGTGCAAAACTGTCATTTCACAGCACTGTCATATCGCGCCTCCCTAAATCAATCCCACTTACTAATGAGACTTTTAAAGACAGTTGAACACAGGATCTTATTTAGTCGTATTATAGTAAAGCTGAGCGATATGGACTTTTATCGCAGTATTTTGTGGTACTATTGAGACAATGGGAAAAGTGATGATAAGAACTAGTTATTACTTATTTTTTAGGTAACTGTGAGGATATAACTGCATGACGGCAATCGTAGCCCCACAAATACTGTTACTAAAAATTATCAATTGGAATTTTTTTGCGACAAGATAAGAAACTTATAACAATAAATGATAAAGATACGGTAAATCCCAACCCATATGGGGTAAAGCGAGTAAAAAATAAAAATGCATCCAGTTGTTTATATTTGCATAAAACTTGGAAAAACACTTTTCATTCCCTTTCCCCTCAACAATTACAGTGTACTTTGTGTTAATGGTGGTAAGTGGTGTGAATACATTTGCGAGGCACGGTCTGAGTTTTAAAAGCATCTTCACACCCCAGCAGAAAACGGAAGACCGACTGCAGGGGGATGAAAGGAGAGATCTTCTCCATCTCTTAAAGGTCTACGTGGATGATATTGATTAGAACCAATCACATTATCCGACCGACAAACCCAATAGAGCGAGCAGACTGCAGTTTGGTTCAGCCTTAACACATTTACCACAATCTATGGCTATTAAACATGAGAGACACTGACATGCACTGGGTTTTCATACACAAACTAAACTATTTTCACAAAGCCCAGCGAGAACCCTGGATGGAAGCAGGGCATAATTAATTAGGCTCGCTCTCAGTTTGGGTGACATGTTGGTAAGCAGGGGGCCTGGCGCCCAGAGGGGGGCCGTGGCCTTTTCCACGGCGGCAGCAGCAGGGCTGTCCCCTCTCCTCCGCCTGTAGTGACACCTCCACTGCTGCCATGATGCCGGGGAGTCCACGCCATCGCGACAGCCTCCGCTGAGCTGAGATCCGAGGCGACAGGCGCTGGCACGGAGCCGTCCTGGTGCATGTACACGCACACACGCACACACACACACACACACACACACACACACACACACACACACACACACACACACACACACACACACTCTTCCCCACAAAGCCATCAGCGAGGAACATCCACTCTTTGTTGCAATTCTCCTAAATATCAATGTGGCATCAACTCGAAGCCAAGTCACATCAAAACATTCGTGTATGAATTGATTTGTAATATAAAGCCATAAAATGCACACAAACCAACTGATGCTCATTAATGCAGCCCTGCTGCTACCTTAAAAGCCTTTAAGAGCTTTGAAATGACCGCAGGATGATTTCTCAGTTTAAAAAGCAAAACTTTCCTCCATTAGCAGCCGTGCTGCTCCTGCACCTCCTTCCTAAACTACAGCACCACCCAGAGGAAAAATCTAACTTAACCATCTGTCTAAACCGGTTTAGACAATTGTTATATTCTGGTTTTACAAAACAGATTTAAATGCATCATTTTAGAGTACTTTAGTTTTATCAGTAACCACTACTACTAGATTTTGTTGCCAATTAAAGCCTTTCACCTGCCGATTGTTAGTGTTTTTATATAAAAAAAAAACAAAAACAAATTGTGTGTGGAAGTCTGTTGAAACATGAACACCTCTATAAATATAAAACCACAGAGCTACTGATGCAGGTCATATACGGCCAACAGCTCAGAGCCTTAACACAACAAACGAGGTAGGGAGATAATGAGGGACACTGATCAGACCATTAGATCTGCAGCAGCATTTCAACATACAGTAATGTAAGGCTCTGATGTGTGTCAGTCTGTGCGCCGTTTGAACCTCAAAAGTAACATGTGTCATAACCCAGCAGTTAGTTCAAAGTCCGTTAAACGTGACAAATGGTTAAACCGAGGTGGCAAGCGGCTGATGAGAGATGAACTACTGAGGCACGCCGCAGCAGAATATGCTGAAATTATAAAGCATGATTTTTATCAGAAGATCAAACCAAAAATGGCAAAACTCATTACAAATGCAGATTAATAAAAACTTGAGCTGTAAAGTGACTAGCATCACTCTGCATATGTACCCAGCTGAGTTTTACAAGACGTGAAGAACTGAGGCTTCGTCTGCCTGAAACCAACGGCATTCAGTCATTTACACATCAGTCACTTTGGCTCAGACGTTCCTCACACTTCAGACACGACTATAAAAGTGACACCAATAACGGGTTTCTAGCAACATTTAACAATTAAAAGCCTCAAAGAAGGTCAAGTGTGAAAGAAGTTCACACCCTGAGGTTCCTGGGGATTACCTGAACCATAGCAGCAGGTACAAGTTAATTTGAGAAAAATAAAACTTGTACCACTGGCTGCCTGTGCATTTAGAGTTCATTTTAAGATTCTTTCATTTGTTTTTAAAAGTTTACATGAGCTTGACCCATTTTGCTTATCTGAACTCTCCAGCTCAGGTCAGCTCTGTACTGCACTTTGTCACAGCTATTGTTGTTTTAAAGTGAAGTAGGAGTAGCAGTATTTGAAGTTAGCATCCATTTCAGAGGTCAATGTTTACAACACTAAATAATTCCTCATAAAAACACTGTGCAGCCTCACAGATACACTGTATTTAGTTAAGCCAGTGGAGGGACCCTCAGCTGCTTCCTCCTAATTTAGCGGATCAGGTTTTGGAAGCTGGCTGGCCGTCGCTGACGATTTCAGATAAAAACAATGAGGAAAACTGTAAAATGGAGGCGGGCTAATCAATCAGACAGCAAATAAGTTGCGTCAATCTTATTGATTTCTTTTTATTATCGATTTTGGCTGAGCAAACACAGCCAATAACAAGGAGGCGTGTCTGTGCTCAGTTCACACATTAAAGGGGCGGCCTGTGGGACCTTACAGTCGCATTTCAAAGCAACAACTACATGCAGGGCGTCCAGGCAGCGTCTGTGTGCTGCTTGACTGGAAGTGTGCAATCAATCAGGTGGAGTTTAGTGAGCAGTGAGCTGCTTGGCAAGACGTCTCAGAGCAGAAATATCTGTGATCATGAAACGTCTCCACCACCTACAGAGTCATAGACGGAAAAACGAGCTGCTCTAAAAAATACTTTTTGACCCGCAAAAAAACTGAAAAATTCTGATCCATAAAAAAAAAAAAAATAGAAGAGAAACAA